TTCTTCCATGGGCGTATCGGGTCAATCCAAACCCCGTGGCTATTCGCGCCTGGACCAGATGAATGCAATTGACATAGACTCAGATGTTCTGCCTTCAGACGAACGAGAGGCCCATGTGGTTCTTGTTGGCCAATGCCCAGGCCTGGTGTCCCACTGGGCCAGCCTTTGGATCTTTGATGATGGAACAATCTGGTCTGTGGAGTTGTCAGCAGTGGACCCTGACAATGGAGCACGTTGGGGCTCAAGCCATTGCAGGATGAAGCTTTTGGTGGTCGACATGGATGGTGATCGAAGGAGGAGACTTTTGCCGTGCTTGTTTGGACCGCTTCCGGCGCTGCAACATGTACCCGAAAGGCCGTGGCCAACAAGTTCAAGATGCCCTTAACGAGATTTGGCCATGTGAAAGTGCTGAAATCAGGGAGTTTCTCTTTTTCATTGATGCAGTGCTTTCGACAGATGACCCGAAGAAAGAGTTTCTAAGAGCGATGGACCGCATTTGGCCAATGGCATCAGAGCAAGATCTGGAATACATTGCAAGAGTTCTTTTTCTGACTTTCTTTTGACAACTCTGAAAGGTTGCAAGATGATGTAATCCAAAGAGGGCTAGAAATTCATTTGCAAAAGTTCCCGGAAGTATCATATGAAACGATCCAAGGCCTCTTTCACAGTTTAGCTGACATTGTGCAGTCTGGAGAGGAGTGCAGGAAGAGGTTCAGAGGATCTATGAACCTTCTGTGGCCAGTGGATCCCCGCCGCAGATTGGCTGAACGACTTTTGCTGAAGTACTTGGATCACTTTGAGTATGAGATTTTGGACACAGATGGGCCGATCCGGGTAAGGACATCGCTTTCTAGACTCAAGGAAGCAGCGGAAAAGAACCCCATTATTGGGTCACGTTATGATTTGCTGTTCAACAACTGTCAGTTGTATTTGGTGCATCTTTTGTACAAACAGTATGACGTGGAAGGGGTACGGATCCCCTGGAATATCGGTGCACTTGTCGCTGCACCCCTTCTGGTGATCATGGAATCCATTTTCATCCTTGCATATCTGCATTTTGGTGGCAACTCATCTCTGAATCAGATACCATTCCCAGCAATGGCATTCGGCTTTCTTTGGATCCCAGCGGAAATACTTTTTCTTTGCATTTACTTAAACCGTTTGGCATAGCGAACTGACTGGTGTGAGTGTGACATATGGGAGGCGCCATGCGATAAGGCTTTTTCACTGGGATTCGTGGCTATTTTCCTTTACACAATTTATTTTTTTGCGCTCTGTGTTTTGGGTGCCTGCTTTGGGCACTGGTGGTTGCAAGACTCGCGGAGTGTGACGATCCCGACGATAAGCGTTTGTTTGGACATGATTCTGGTTTGGCTCGCAGGAATAACGAACTATTCTGATCGTGATGACAGGCTTGTGCACTTAGAATTTTCCTGTCTCGGCGTAGCATTGCTTTGTTTCGTTGTGCTGGTTTGGTGTTGCGTAGCAATGCTGGCGTAGCATATTTGTCCATGGAATCCACTTTCTATCTTCATTTCCTGTTGGCTTTATACTCTCGGAAAACATGTTAATGGCCTGCAGCTTTCTTTCAATTTCAGTGGAAATGTTTTTTCGTTGCATTTATTTGAGACGATTGGCGGTGCGACATGACTGGAGCATCATTTGGTGGATGTCAGGCCTTTTCGTGATCGTGGCTTTGTATTGTGGCTCTTTGCACTGGTTCCTGTCATGGCCGCTGGAACTGATCATCCCGATGGCAAGCCTTAATTTGGACTTGCTTCTGGTTTATCTGGCAGGCGCCACGAACTATGTTGATCGCAATGCGAGGCTTGGCAATGAATTTGGTTGTTGTGTCATCCTAGCAATGGTGCTCATAGCTTTCGTACTTGACCTGCAGGTGGAGAACTTGCGCCTGCGGACATTCGGAAAAAGGATGGCTCTTGGCCCTTGCTTTGAACTTTGTTCACCATCAGCGTGTTCAATTTGGCAAGCTCAACCAGCCAATTCCCTCGTCTGGGAAACAAAAATGGTCTGCGATTTTCTGCATCGCAACTATCCTGCAGGAAGCGCCAGGGCACTGGGAGGAGGCCCAACCGCTACAAAGCCAAGAGTCTCAGCTGTAGGAGGTGCGCCTTGCTGGACCTTCTTCAACTCCATTTCGACCAGGTGAATCTGAATGAGGCGAAAAGGACACATGTATATACTGTACCTCGTTTTGAACATGATAAGCACATGCCAGGGTGTCAGAGCTATCATGTAGGATCATGTAGGTTAATTCTGGTATACGGTGTATCATGTTCATGTGGCTTGCATTTATATGAATTCACATCACACTGAACAGCTTGGTTGTGTGCTTCACTGTGCTCAGAGTACTATTTGCCGAGGCACCTCCACGGTATTCCCCAAATCCAATGTCTTTCGATGTTTTTAGTCTTCGAAAAAAAAAGGTGAGACCGGGTGATGGGAGTTTAGACTTGCCCGACCTCCACAGGGAGTCCGTCCTCCGTCAAGTACCCCCCTCGCAGACTCTGGAGTCCGGTCCTATGCGCTGAAGTCGCCCAAAACGCGTGGCCTGGAGGCGGGTGTGGGATGGTGGCCAATGGATCGGTTTGGGAAGCTTTGATTGATGAGCTGACGTTTCAAATCCGCACCCCCTCGGTTGTTAAAACTCTTTTAATCCTTTTGGAGTCCGGATGTATAGCCAGCCTTGCACTCTTGAATGTCTTGAATTCGTCAAGGACGCGCAGGAGATCAGCTTACGAAGCATGGCATGGAGCAGAGAATTCTTCTGGTTGAGACTACTCGCTTAATGTACACAACAGATGGGACGGGCTGGTACAAGGATGAAGATGAGGCCCCAATTCCATGCATGGCATTGCCGCAGCGCGGTTTTCGCACTTGTTTGGTGTTTCCAACGGTCTTTGCGAGTGAGGTGGAACGCCCCCAGCGACGGAGTGAAGCGTTCCGAGCTTTGGAGGAGGCGGAGAGTCAGTTTGTCAACAATTTGGCTGGGGACATTCGTGGTTGGATTAGTAAAAGCAATTGGTTTTTCTACTGTAGCAGGAACTTGTTGTGTTTCGTTTTTTGTAGTTGAGTCCAAATCATGCCTTTGAACAGAGCACCGCAGACATGTCGACCATTTCTTTTACTGAATCATTCCAGAGATTGGAGAAATAGAACGTCTGAGAGAGTTGATGCCATGTGAGCAAAGCACGCGAAACAAGTCAGCCATGAGCTCAAAGTAGTTTGTGGCATTTACGCTCCATGAATGACACGTCTTTCCTTTTTGATCTATTTGGAGGCAGAAATGACACAACGGTAGCCTGACAAATTGTTGGGAGTGTTTGAA